TTCACTTCTCTAGCTTGTTCCTAGGTATTTAATTTATTTGTAGCTACTATAAATGGAATTAGGTTCTTGGTTACTTTTTCAGATTATTTACTGTTGCATATAGAAGTGCCACTAATTTTTGTATGTTGATCTTGTATTCTACAACTTTACTGAATTTGTTTATCAGTTCTAATAGTTTTTGTGGAGTCTTTAGGTATTCTAGATATAAGATAATATCATCTCCAAATAAGGATAATTCGACATTTTCTTTTCCAATTTTGATGGCCTTTATTTCTGTCTCTTCTCTGATTGCTCTATTATAGAATTTGCAGTACTATGTTGATAACAATGGGGAAAGAGGGCATCCTTATCTTGTTACAGATTTTAGAAGAGTGGCTTTCAGTTTATCCCATTCAGCAAGATACTAGCCATGGGTCTGTCATTTATGGGTTTTATTATGTTGAAGCATGTTTCTTCTACACCAGTTTTTTGAGAGTTTTATCATGAAGGATGTTGAATTTTATTGAGTGCCTTTTTCAGCATCAATGAAATGATCATATGGTTTTTGCCATTCCTTCTGTTGATGTGATGTATCATATTGATTGATTTGCATATGTTGAACCATCCTTGCATCCTGGAATGAATACCACTTGATCATGATAAATAATCTTTTCAATATGTTGTTGAATTCAGTTTGCAAGTATTTGTTGAGAATTTATGCATCTATGTTCATCAGAGATATTGGCCTACAGTTTTCTTTTTATGTTGTGTCTTTGTCAAGTTTTGGTATCAGAGTGATACAAACCTTATAGAATAAGTTTGGGAGTATTCCTTTCTCCTCAATTTTTTGAAATAGCTTAAGTAGTATTGGTATTAATTCTTCTTTGAATGCTTGATAGAATTCAGCAGGAAGCCATTGGGTCCCGGGCTTTTCCTTGGTGGGAGAGTTTTTATTACTGCTTCTATCTTGTTACTTGTTATTGGTTTATTCTGGTTTAGGTTCAATGTTGGTAGGTTGTATGTGTCTAGGAATTTATCCATTTCTTCTAGGTCTTCCAATTTATTGGCATAGAGTTGTTCATAGTAGTCTCTAATAATCCTTTGGATTTCTGCCATAGCAGTTGTAATTTCTCCTTTTCCATCTCTGATTTTATTAATTTGGGTCTTCTGTATTTTTTTAATAGTTTGGCTAAAGGTGGGCCAATTTTATTTATCTTAAAAAAAACCACAACTTTTTGTTTCCTTTATCTTCTGTAGTTTTTTTTTTGTTGTTGTTCAATTCATTTATTTTGCTATGATATTTGTTATTTTTTTTCTTCTACTAATTTTGGTTTGGTTTGATCTTATTTTTCTGGTTCCTTGAAATGCAAAGTTAGGTTGTTTATTTGAAGCTTTTCCACTTTTTTTAATGTAGGCACTTATTGCCATAAACTTTCCTCTTATTACTGCTGTTCCTGTATCCAATAGGCTTTGATATGTGGTTTCATTCTTGTTTATTTTGAGAAAATTTTAACTTCTTTCTTAATCTCTTCATTGACCCACTGTTTCATTCAGGAGCACAATGTCTAAATTCCATGTGTTTGTATATTTTCCAATGTTCCTTTTGTTTTTGATTTCTAGTTTATTTCCATTGTGTCAGAAAATATACTTTGTATCATTTCCATTGTTTTGAATTCTGTAAGACTTGTTTTGTGGCTTCACCTATGGTTTCACCTGAGAATGGTCCATGAGCTGGGAGAAGAGTGTGAATTCGGCAGGTGCAGGATGAAATGTCCTGTAAATATGTGGCAGGTCCACTTGGTCTATTGTCCCTGTGCAGATCTGTGCAGATTATGGATTAGGTCCATGTTGTCCGAGTCCCTGCCTCAGGAACCCTTCTTGGTAAAACACACCCCGGCTGGCAGATGAAACGGACTCCCCGTGGCTACATGAATGTTCCAGAAACCGAAC